TGCTGGGTTGGGTTCTTCATGCCAGGGGCCGGGCTGGCTAGGCCACCGACCTGGGCCCTCGGCACAAGGGCCCGCTCCCAGCCAGCCGACGGCAGTGCGGCGTCCTGCCCGGCCTCTCCGCCTTCCTGCCCCCCTCCCCACGGGAAGACCCAGCAGAGGGCACCGTGGGCGAGTGGAGACTGCAAGCGACCTCGTGGGGGTGGCCTGAGAGAAGGGCCCTGGCTAGGGGGTGCATGGCTTTGTCCTTCCCCCTCTTCTCCCCGAGGAGAGTCCATTTCCCAGCGCCTCCCTCCGGGCCCGGGCAGCGCATGGGCCCACGGCTGAGTGGGCTTGTCCTAGCCTGTAGCAGTACAAGGCTCCGGGGAAGGGTAACAGGCCCTACGCCAGGGAAACGAAGGCTCCGTGCACCGGGGACTCGTTAAGGGACACTGGGGGCACCTAATTAAACAGGGAGGCAGCCGGGCGACTGCAAGAGGAAGCCAGGCCCCGTGTGTGTCCGTCCCTCCAGGCGCCATGCGGGGAAAGCTCCCGGGACGAGGAGCCAAGGAGGAATGAGGCCAGGAGGCAGAGGGCTGCAAGCAGATGACGCTACGAACAGCAAGTCCCAGCAGATCCTGGTGCCCCTGGAGGGCCCTCGCCAGGTGGCAGCAAAAGCCCCAGCTCACAGGAAGGTGGGTGCACGTTGGCCTCGCTAGGCGAGGGAGCGGGGCAAGGCTGTTACCCCTGCCCTTTCCTGCTGGAGCGGGGCAGGGACGCCGGTCTGTACACTGCTCCGCCTGGGCCTTCACTAACAGAGCCCTGAGGGGGCACAGCTCAAGAGACACACGCCTCACTGGACTTCCTGAGGAGGGAAACTGAGGCAGGGCTGCAGTGGGCCGAGATGGGCACTCAGGGCCAAGGGTCCCCGTTACCGCTTCCTCCAGCTGCAGGCCCTGCAGCAGCTACCTGCAAACAGCTCTGCAGCATCTATTTACAGACCTGCTTGAGGTTAAGCCATCGATAGCAACTTCCTCTTGCCATGTTCCCAGCCTGCGCTCCCTCTGCCGGGCGGCCTTCCAACTGCACTGCAGGGAGCAGTGGAGGAGGGGTGGTGCCATCAAAGCAGCAGGGAAGGAATAAACTGACCCGCCAGCTCTCGGGTCTCTTACCCACCCTGGTCTCCCAGCACCCCCGTGCCCACTCCCTCCCCCCCACCGGCACAGAGAGGGGCCCATAGAGAAGCCAGAGCTGTCTGCCAGAGGGGAACAGCTGGGTGGCCGGGGAGGGAGGCCTGTCCCACTGCTGTCAGGACAGAAGAAAGGCCTTACCCGGTCGTACTCGCTCGTCTCACCTCTCGGCGGTCGCTCGATAGCGAGTGGGGCCCCTTCCTGCCACCCTCCTCGTGGCTGCGTCGCTGGCAGACCAGCCTGATTCTAGAGCTGCAGGGCTTATGGCGGAAGGGGAAGGGATGGGCAGCTATTGGGGAGAAGTGGGGCTCTTTCCTTCTCATCTGCGCTGCGGCGGGACTGCTCACACTGCGCCGCCCCCTCCCAGACACCCGCTCTCCACTGGGGACGGTCCTGGGCGAGGCTCTCCCGCGTGTCAACGCCCCTGCCGCACTGTCAACCTGCCCCCGGTAAGGAAACGTTGGGCTACAGCGGCAGGGGGATAGCTCGATGGTTTGAGCATTGGCCTGCTCAACCCAGGGTTGCGAGTTCAATCGCTAAGGGGGCCAGTTAGGGAGCTGGGGCAGATCTGTCAGGGACGGGGCTTGGTCCTGCCGTGAGGGCAGGGGGCTGGACTCGATGACCTCTCAAGGTCCCTTCCAGCTCCATATAGTGTGTGAAATGCAGCCAGCCGGGCGGCAGGACGCAGCCATGCCCCCGGGTCAGGAAGCCCTCAGAGCAGCGAAGGGGAGACATGCTCTGGCCCAGGAGGGTGGAGGGATGTGGCACCATGTTCCTTGCGTTGCTCCATGCAGCTCTGGGGAGTGTTACACCTTCAGCTAAGCAGGCCCCTGGTGCTGGTGCTCCGGGGCTCCGGGCTGAGGCAGTGCAGGAAGGAGAGGCACTGGGCCATGGGTCAGGGGGCGGCCTTTGGTGCAGTACAATAAGCTCAGGGAAGCCTTCAGTTGCCCTCCACAGCAGAGCCAGAGGAACCAATTGTAAAGCAAACAAGTGGTTTGCATCCACCCTCATGCTGAATTCTGAGGCCAGGCCCCCTCCCCAGTTCCTGATCCCCTGGGCCTCCTGCTGGGTGAGCGGGACCCCCAGCCAGCGTGAACAAAGAGCTGCAGCTGCCGCGTTTCCTGAGGTTTGCCGAGGGGGCGGGGAGCCTTGACCCTGCCGACAGCACCAGCCCACGGTCCTCCCCCCGGCACTAAGACCCTGCCCCAGGCAGATCACAGCCCAAGGCCGACCCGCCCAGGCCAGCGTGGACGGGGACTCTCTCAGCGCAGAGCCAAGACCCCTTCCAGGAAACAGTCGCTTGCCCGTCCACTCAACCAAGGAGAAGCCAGTTCAGGCCCCCTGCCTCTGGCAGCCCAGGGGGAGGCGCTCTGCCCTGGAAGAGGGCCCAGGCCTTTGTGGGCTCCATCCATCACCAACAGACCCAGTGGGGGGGCCACCAGGGGAGCACTGGAGCTACTGCCCCCCCCTTCCTACTGTAAGGAGAGCGGCCCACAGTGATTGGCACAGGCTAGGGGCACTCCTGGAAAGGCTGCGAGGGGGATGGTCTAACCCCAGAGGGTACAGACACATCCCAGGGAGAAATTCACACAAGGCCACTCACCCCCCGCAAAGAGCTTCAGAACACGAACACGATCCTGGCCACGCCCCTCCTTGGGGCCCTCCCCACTAGCCCCCCCAGCACCCTGGAGGACATGACGACCAGGCCAAGTGTTTCAAGCAGGATCTTGCCCACCTGGGAGGCTGCCACCTGGAAGGCTGCTGGGCACCAGTGTCCCCTTTCCCATGGCAAGCCGCTGAGCGTGACTGGCCCTTGCAAAGCAACACGGGTTTGGAGGTGGAGGCTGACACCTCCGCGCCCCCCCCCGCCAGAACCTCTGGGCAGGACGGATCAGGGCCAGCTGTCAGTCCCAGGCCCGCCGGAGTGGGCACG